CCTGTGGTGTGTGTGAAGCTGAAGGATGAAGCCAGCCTCTTTGTGGTTCTGTGTCGACTCAGAACACAGAGTGAGTCTCTGAATCTGAAGCTACCCACCATGTTGAATGTGGATCTCTTGCTTTTTCCCTTAAGACAAACAACTTCATTATTAAGGACCGTGGTCTCCTTTTTCATCTCTTCCAGATTACCCCTGTGGGGAGTATCAACACGGCGAGCCACATCTGACGCTCTCCTGTCCTTCTTTAAACAATAAAACAGTGTTCCACCATATTGTTGTTTGCCGCTTTTCTTTTTCCCATTTTCTTTCTCTTTTTCCCACAGTACAGCTGCTGGAAGATGCCATAGTGCTGCAAGATCTCAGCGGAGCAAGATGATCAATTTCTATGGGAGCTCCTTCCCCCTCCTCTTCCTCATTTCTCTGACCCTTCCACCTCCTCCTCAATTCATCCAGCTCTAATTATTTTGCAAATAAAAAAACACAAGGAGTATTTTTTCTTGCCCAGTTATGGAAAGCTTATTAAAACTAGGTCTGGAACAAACAAAGCTTTTCCCTGAGAGGCCTCTTTTCAAATCCATTTTATAATTTCCCTCTGTTTTAATCTTTTAAATCAATTAATTATTTCTTGGTGAAGAATATTTTCTTTGCAGTCTTGTGTTCCAGTGAGAGTGAAGCTTGATGAGAGCGTCAGGAGAACATGGTGGAGTAGCTGTGGCTTTGCCAAAAGGGAAATCAGCTTGATGCAGCGCCATGTCCTCAGAGTTGGTGGAATAATTAAACAATTAAAGTTGAGAAAAAGAGATCATCTTCACCCTCACAATGCCAGGAGGCTTCTTAACAGAGAGATGTTTTGTCATGTAAAACCATTAAACCTGCTGAAGCTTCATCAACTCTTCTCTGTGGCAACTTTTAACTTTTACCAACGGTAACACTTTTCGTTGCTTTGCTTTTCACAAAAAGTCTTTAACAGTCCTTTAAGGAATGCATATCATCCTTTTCCTTTCACGCTAGAGTTTAAAACTAAAACTATCTGAGGAAGAACATAGATGTAGCCATTTGGCCAAACTCTGAGAAAACTTTTATGTGAACGAACGCTCCACTTAGAGAATGTGCTGGGAATGACAATCAGCACTGCTTTAAGTTTTAATTCCATATCTGTAAAACTAACTGAGTTATGCTCATTTTTGTGCTGGCTAATGTAGATTAGCTTTGGTGGCCATCTTGAATTGGAGCAACTCCAAAAATTAAACAATTGTAAAGGAACATCCAATGAATACTTTTCGAATGTTTCATTAAAATCTTTTTAGTAGTTTTTGAGATATTTTACTAACAGACGAATAGTGTTGACTCCAAATGTTGTTGCTAAAGTTTAAAGCATATATTCTGTACAATGTGTGGTGTTTGGAATATGCATTGGGGATACATGTCAACTAAAATCACACCAAGTGTTAGGTTGCTGTCTGTAAACTGACACATTGTAGATACATGTTTAATTTGGGGCTGAGATGATGTAGGGGCAGGGCAGCCGACTCGGGACCCGAAGGTCCTGGGTTTAAACACCGGTCATTGCTCATCTCATGGTGTCTCTGAGCAGGATACCCAATTCTGAAATGATCCCAGGGCTGCCTACATTGCTGCCCACTGCTCCACCTGGGTGCAACCCGCAGGTGTGATGGGTTAAATGCAGAGAACTAATTTTGTCTTTGTATAATCTTCAGTGATTATCTTAAAAAGATTAGAGATAATAATAATAATAATATAATATTAATTATTATTAATAATAATCATTAATAATAATATAATAATATTAATAAGATAAGAGTAATAATAATAAGATAAGTAATGCAAATAAGAATAATAATCTTTAGTGATAATCTTTTGTGATTATCTCCTGAAAGTTTCATTACAACTTGTCCAGCGGTTCATGAGATTTTTTGTTAACAGACAGGCAGCACTGATTCAAAAAGGGTTAATGAGATCATTTCTAATAAAGATCTTGTGCAATTTGTTAGTGCTCAGAATAAGTTTTGGGGATCACTACTACCACACAAAGATTTTGGTCTGCATTTGTAAAATTCGCTGTTTTCTTTTATGTCAATTTGTGTTTTTTTAATATCAGTCTGCTGTGGGGGCCATCTTGAATCTGGTTGTCTTCAAAAAGTTAATCAGTTGTTGATGTACAAACAATAATCATGTTTTGTTAGTTTCATTAAAATGTGTCCATTGGTTTATGAGGACCTGGATCTAGAAGGCCGCGGTCATTATTATCATCATGCCACTAATGTGACTACACTGCTAACTGGACCCTACTGCTAACAGAACTACATTGCTACCATGCTGCTAATGAGACCGCACTGTTAACAGGACCATGCTGCTGACGAGACCGCGTGGCTAACTGGACCATGCTGCTGACGAGACCGCGCGGCTAACGGACCATGCTGCTGACGAGTCCGCGCGGCTAACAGGACCATGCTGCTGACGAGACCGTGTGGCTAACGGACCATGCTGCTGACGAGACCGTGTGGCTAACAGTACCATGCTGATGATGAGGCCGCGCAGCTAACGGACATGCTGCTGACGAGACTGCACTGCTAACAGGACCATTCTGCTGACGAGACCGCACAGCTAACAGGACCATTCTGCTGACGAGACCGCACAGCTAACAGGACCATGCTGCTGACGAGACTGCGTAGCTAACGGACCATGCTGCTGACGAGACCACGCAGCTAACGGACCATGCTGCTGACAGAGCCAAGCCACATTGCTGGCAGTACCATTCTGCAAACAAGAGCACATTGCTAACAGGACCACTCTGCTAACAGAATGGTAAATGGTAAATGGACTGTACTTATATAGCACCTTTCTATCTAATCTAGATACTCAAAGCTCTTTACAACAATCTGTGTCCTCGTTTACCCATTCATACAGCACGCTACTAGATTGCTACAAAGCTAATTGAACAAATCATTCTAAAGAGACTAATCAGAGATTTATCACATTCATACACTGATGGGACACACATCAGAGGCGATGAGGGGTTCAGTGTCTTGCCCATGGATGCTTCGGCAAGTGACTGCTGGCGGATTCGAACCCCCAACTTTTACATAGGACGACTGCACTAACCACTCAGCCACAGCTGCCCAACAGAACTTCACTACTAACAGAACCATGCTGCTAAGTGTTTTATAACACTATTTTTATCTTTTAATTGCTTTTTATTGCTGTATATTGCTGTCTATATGATGTCTGTCTAAAACAGGTCTCTCTTGAAAATGAGTCCTTGTGACTCAATGAGACTAACCTGTATAAATAAAGGTAAACATATATATAGATATTTTACTAACAGGCTGACAAACACAGGCAAAAAGATCATCACCTTTTGCCTTCAGTGTTAAAAAAAAAACTATAGCAGAATATCCTGTTTAAACCAACAGAGTGTTAAAAACAATACTAATATTTCCATCCAAAGATGCTGTTGTTACTCATTTATCTTATCTACAAAAAAAACAAAACAAACAAAAAAAAACCACTAAACTCTAATAGTGGAATAATTAAAGGACCTCGGCCAAATCGAGGTCTTGTATATTATTAGTCAACTGATAATTATTAATAGGTGTTGAAATCAATGACCTGAGGCCTGATTTCGCTGTAAAGCACAGCTGCTCGGCCTGCTGTTATTTCCAGTGACAGACGATGGCGCCACTCTGCAGCTGTAAAGCTTTAATGTCTCCCAGAGGCTCGAGTCACCCTCAGTAAACTGAATAGTTATTGAATGTCAACTAATTAAACTCTGACGTGAGGTGAATGCATCCTGCTGGATGTTGCCATGCAGCTTGAGGCCCATTTTACAAATGCCCTGCCTGATTCTTCAAAATGGAGGCCAGAGCTGACATTAACTTCTCCAGCAGCTGTAACCAATTTACACATCTTTTGAGTTATTATGTAGGATTACATAAATATTATATTTAGGGGAACATTAACCTTCCTCGAAGGAATGCATATCTCCTGCTGACTAAACTTTTAATATAAGGTCATATTATGCAGAGAAATGATGATGAAGCCGTTCTGGTCAAACCTTGTGAATGATGCTACGTTGCATTTTGGCCCATTATCTGTAAATAATTAGCTTTATAGCCATTTTGTACTGGCCAATGCCACTTAGTTGCAGAAACCATAAAGATGACACTAAATTTATTCAGTTACATCCAATGATCACTCTCTGAAAGAATAAGTTATGTGGTTCATGACATTTGTTATTCTAACAGTAACGCTGAAGTTTTAAACAAAGTGTTGTAAACGACTCTCAGCTACTACCACAACAAACTGTAGCTCAAAATCTGCAAAACTGACTAAAACACAGCCATGTTTGTGTTTTCTAAGATCACTTGGATCTGGTGGCCATCTTGAATTAACTCTGAAAGCTCATCAGATGTAGAGGCATATTTGGAGATGTTTTTCATGAGCGTTCATTGAAATCTGTGGCTCATGAGATATTTTGCTAACAGACAAACAAAGTTAACTCCAAATAGTTAATTGCAAGTGTTTAAAGATCTTATATAATTTGCCAGTGCTCAGATAATGTTTTGTGGACCAGTCTCAGCTACATCTTGAATCGTGTTGACTCCAAACTTCATTCAGCTGTAGATGCACATCTGAGGAATACTTTTGGTAAGTTTCAGTAAAATCCATCCACCCGTTTTCGGGATACTTTCACGCCCCTCCCCATGATGCTAGGTCATCAAAAATCAGTGTCATCAATAATGGAAGCTGCGTTTAAAACCTCTGCTGGCTTTTGGACTCGTGTTTTCAGTGTTGGACACTGTCCTCCCTCCTCCTTCTCACCTCAGTTGTCTGCGTGTCCAGTCCACATCCCTTCTCTCTGATTGGCCGGAATGGGTACTCCTCATAAACTGGCTGCGAGCCGATTGGCTGCTGCGCCACTGACGTCACGCGGCAGGAGAAGGTTTTTTACTGGAGGTTTCTTTCTGTCAGCTACACATGCAGAACAAGCTGCTAACGGGACGCAGAGAGACGGAGAGAGAGAGAGAGAGAGAGAGAGAGGACGGGCGATTATATCTTCTCTGCCTCCCTCCTTCCGCCACAGCACGCGCTACCCTTCACGCCTTTTGGGGGACATTACGACACACGGAGACAACTAATGACGTCTTGCGATGGACTCTTTTCCTCTCGGCGCCAAGCAGAGCACTAAAGTGTTTCCAGAAAAGGGGGAAGCGTTCAGTGGAAATACTATCTGATAACTCCATTTGCTCACCGGTCGGCTTTTACCTTTGAAGAGCCGAATCCCTGCGCGGAGCTGGAGGCCGAGCGCGCGCGACATAGTGCGCTGCTTTTTGTTGTGTTTTTTTCACCCTGTACTTTTTCCTGGGACTGTTTGCAGCCTACCTGTTCACCTAGATACCAACTTTTCTGCTATTGCTCGTAAAAAGGGCGTCGAGGTGAGTGTTGGTGTGAAGCCGTCCTCATATTCTGTAGAGGCGTTTATTTTTTCTCATCAATAACCTATTTCTGCACACTTACACAACAACAGAAGCACATTTCAGCCACACAATGTGTATTTTTTATGTCTTTGGTGGGCATGAGCTGTCTGCGCGCTACTGTTTTCTTTAGTTTTCCTCGTGTCGCGCGCTGTTTCCATGACTTGCCCTAATTGCCTGCTCGTGTAATTACTTGAGTTGGGCCTTTTAAGTTAAAAGCCTCCCCTCCGCACCTCCGTCCCTCAGCGCAGACCTCCCCTCCGTGAAACAAACTTGAAGACTGCCCTTCCTGTTTTACTGGAGAGTCACTTTCTCGTTTTGTATTTTTTTTTTAATTCATCTCCTTTTAGATTTAATCAGCACTAAAGCACTCTGTGGTTTGTCCCTAAGAGCCATCGCTAATGGGCTTACTCAATGCTTTTCTCTCTGTGTGCCCCCCCTCCCCCCAGCTCTAATTGGCCTACCTGGCTTTCAACAAAGATTTGGCTTTATCCCGGGCCAGCCTGTCCCACCAAATTGGTGGGGATTACATCAGAAAGAGCCTACATTAAATCTGTGGCCAAAACAAATGGTGTCAGATCATTAGATTAAGGATTGTGGGCTCAGTTTGTGGATAAGGATTTATCTGTTTTGTAAAAGCACCAAGTTTTGGTAACCAACATAGCACTCTTTAGTATCGCCTCCAAGTGTGTTTCAGGCCATTTACCTCAGCTGTTCCAACTACTGAGTGACGAATAAGTCCAGTAAAGCACAAGAATGAGACAATTCAGGGCAGCTTGATTCAATCAGGCGCGCTCATGTCAACAAGACCGAGTTACATTTAAGAAAGTATTGACTGGTCAGTTTTGTGTTTGTGCACAGTGTGAGCAACAAGCCTTTATCTGACGACATCCCCCCCTGTTTGTTTTTAGGGACGATGGTGAATCCTGGAGGCAGTAGCCAGCCACCGGCTGTGGGCGCGGGTTCCCTGTCTTGGAAGCGATGCGCCGGCTGTGGGGGCAAAATCGCGGACCGCTTCCTCCTTTACACCATGGACAGCTATTGGCACAGCCGGTGCCTCAAGTGCTCCTGCTGCCAGGCCCAGCTGGGAGAAATCGGCACGTCGTGCTACACAAAAAGCGGCATGATTCTCTGCAGAAATGATTACATCAGGTGAGAAGAAGACCCTTAAAACCATTAAGTGTTGTTCTATTATGCCCACACTGGTTCCGAAGAGCAACACACGGCAGAAAGTTCTGCAGATCGCAGCCGCTTGAGGACAGAAAACTGGACTCTTGGCTGAAGGAACCAAAAATCTCATTTTAGTTGTGGCCAGAGTGTTTTTAAATTGTTAAAGTGTCCACAAATCGAGGGTTTTGGTGACAAGACAAAGTTGACTGAAACTCCCCGTCTTGATAGGATGGTGCACTGTAAAGCCCTTTAACTAACCGCTTCACACTATCTGAGGTTTTATTTACCAAATATGTGCTTTTCTACCTAAAAGATTTAACGAGTTAAAGCACACGTTAATTCTTGTTGTTTTGCACCGATGGCACAGATGTTGAAGCCACACTGCAGCCAACCCACCAAATGTTTGCAGAGATAATTTAAAATCCAATGTTTACCTCTGAGCTCTTGCCTCCACCTCATACAAAGCTCAGGGAAGTCAATGGGGTACTTCATTCATAATGGTACTATAACGTAATTAAAATTGGAAGGGTGGGGTGTGTGTGGGGGTGGGCAGGGGGTGGATACACCTTTCCACTTGCAATGAGAGTGCGCTTGGTGGAAGAGCTGAAATGCGTATTATGGAACCATGAGATCTCTATAGAGATAAAAACAAAAGGGGGTGGGGTGGAGTTCATAGATGAGAGAAGAGAAAAAAATAAACCACCTGACAGTCTACACAATTAAAAGCTTTAATTATAGTCCCCCTCCATTTCCTTAAGTCCTGATGGGTTTTATCTAATGAGATCTGGTCGCTGGCTTGTATCCGCTACCAGTGACGTGTCCGAAATGAATGAGAGCCACACTGCAAACAAAACATTTAATTAACCAAATTGGCTTTTGAGCGAGCGAGAGAGAAAGACAGATAGAGAAGAGGGATTATCATGAAGGCCATTTGCTGCTTCCCCCTCTTCTTCATCTTAAAGGGACAGAATATTTTTTCACCACTGACTATCAACAGGCCAACTAGCTCCAGTTTTCCATCCGTGTGTGAACGCTCATCTGCTTGATCGTGGGAAGGATGTTGACCGGGATGTGTGCCCAGAGGCATGCTCCTCTTCTCCCAGCTCTGTGCTGTCAGCCGTGTTAACTTCAAGCCAACATGGAGCTCATGTGGCCGGGGCTCGTGTTCTTTTAAGCCAGAGGTGATATCATGTCTGCGGGGCTGCTGGTGGAGGGAGACAGAATTAATTTACTTGTGGCTGCCGCATTCAGAGAGGGAGCTGTCCCCTTAATTGAATAAGCCAAGGTAATTAAATGGCACTTTTCCAATAAAACGTGTGAGGTAAATCTAATAGTTGGTTATTTAATATCTCTTTGAAGTCTGCCCACTTGAGCGCCATGACAGCAGAAGTGAATGTGAACTATTAGGCCAGGGGAGAAAAAAAGAAGAAGGATCTCAGAAATTAATTAAATCGCACGCAATTTAGAGGAAACGTTTATCTTGATTTGTCATATCAGAATTAATTCAAGGCCTTCAATTCACTGGGGGCCAGATCTGTTACTCTGAATTAACCAAGTGTAATTTGGCTGATCCCCCCCCCCATCCCCACTCCTACTCCCCACCCCCTTCCAAAACACTTGCACACACACAACACAGTTCCATGTCAGCCCTCCCTCATCCTCCCAATCCCCCCCGCCCCAACCTTTTTCTCTAATGCAGCTCTTGCCATTATGCAAAGCCCCGCTTCAGTATCAATATGGCCTAGTGCTTTTAAGGTGCTTTGGCTGCTGATGTAGAGAGGCATTTTTAATGGACTGTGTTGCAGAAATCATTGTTGTGGGGGGTAATTTTACCCTACTCAAAGGTCTTAGTGAATGAGGTCTGCATTTACCAGACAGCCCAGCAGCAAGCCATGCTATATTTCACCCGGCAGTCAGTGCTGAGATGAAATCCAATAGTCATCGCCTCTGTCGTCAACAGACGGCTCCGAATGGGTTCTGTTCTTTTGGCATTTAGTTTTTTTAAAATCGGCGACGGATCCACTCAAGGAGGACACCAGATAAAATAAAACCATCCAATAGGAGGAGACTTTTTCCCCCTCCCTTTCTTTTGTGAGGCGAAGCACAGAAACCAGATGTGTCATTGTAATTAAAAGAGTCCCTTGGCCTTAATTATGCTGACCCGTGGTGCCGACTTCATCTCCGCGCTGTAGTTCACTGGCAGAAGAAGCCATTAGAGCCCGAGTTCAAAACATCACAGCAACTTAATTGAGCACCTAAAGGCTTTGGCTCTTTAAATCAAACACTATCAACACTATTCCCCTGGTAAAATAATTAACCTGCCACATGTTCCACACCGCACCACAATATAATAAAAAGGAAACAAAATAAAGGTCTCGTTTTGTTTCCCTTCTCAAAAGCTTTCACGAAGAGTGTTCGCTTTGAGTTTTAAATTAGCTTTCTTCGTAAATGTCTCCAAGGAGACATATGTCGTTGCTTCTCTGCACACATTAGCTGAATCTTAAAGCAACTTCTATATGTTCATTTCCATGATAGTGTTTGTCCTAGCGAGAGCCCAGACTTGGCAGCGGAGCAGCAACAGTCTCCAGTTAATTAGTTTCTGAAATTGAGTTTTGATGGAGCCTTTCCAAATGATGCCAAGACAAAATTTGCTTCTGCCTGGGCTGTCTTATTGAAAGCCATTTCTCTGAGCTCGTGCTTGTTTGTTTGTCAGTATATCAAAACAACTGCTTTGGGTATGATATGAGGACGTCGGAGCGCTTTATTCTGCTGCTCCGTCTTGTCGTAGATTTTTAAAATACTTCTCGTCAAATTGTGTTTAAAGAACCTGACGCGGACGAGGCCTTTTTGTTTGTCTTTTCTTTTTTTTTTTTTTTTGAAGCCAAACAACTTTATCTGATGTGCGCACACACATACACAACAATTGTTAACCACTCCCACTTTATCCCCCCCACCCCTCTCGCCGGAGCATGTCAGATGCCACGGTCTTATTTGATTGCTTAGGAAAAGTGCAGTGATAGAGCAAACACCCAGTGAGATATGATGACAAATGGGTCCAGATCCGAGTAAATTACTTTCTGCTCAAATCGAAATTTCATTCAGTTTGCTGCTCACCGAGATGAAGTAATCTAAATTGTGGACTCAGAAGGAAGATAGAAGGGGAAGCTGGAGCAAGCATTTCATTATCAAGAGGCAGAGAGGGGTGGGGGGGCGGGAGGGGGAGGTTAGGGACGAAAGAGATGAGCAGAAGCAAATCTAAAGTGTTGACACCATGATTGAAAAGGTTAACCCATGCACATTATATATCAACCTGAGTAGCTGCGGGGTTTCTAATGGAAACACGGCACTGACAGAGCATTCACAGGAGTCCTAATGTCCCTGCCTGGATCTCCAATCAAATCCTCTTAGCTACTGATTGCTTATGTTCCTGCTTATTATTGGGTTGCAAAAAAAACTGCAGCAGAAGTAATATGTAGTGTCAGCGCGAGATGCTCGTGGAGAGCAGTGTAGTAAAGGACTCATTTTTCCTGTTGATACTGCGATGATTTGCTCTCTCCATCTCTTCTCCTAAATGTTTTTCTCTCTCGAGTTAGAAATGGAGAGCAGCAAACTCTGAACTGATTCTGGCGCTCATTCAGTCACACACTCGGGTGCCACAGTTCATCACACAAGCCACATCCATGCAGATGCATGCACTGGGTACATAGTAACATCCTCGCTCCTGTCTGCTCTCTTCCTCCCTCTTCCTCAGGTTATTTGGAAACAGCGGCGCCTGCAGCGCTTGTGGTCAGTCGATTCCAGCCAGTGAGTTGGTGATGAGGGCGCAGGGTAACGTGTACCATCTCAAGGTAACGCCCATTTTCCAACACATCTCTCATGATATTAATTCAATGTCCTGATGCCTGCTCAATAATCCAGGTAGAAACGTATAGTGAGGTTAGCTCCTCTGGACTGATTCTTCTTTGGTGAAACTTTTTGTCGTTTATCCAAAAGACTTCTTCAGTCTGAGGAGCTGCAACAAGCTCAGTCTTATAAATAGCACCTTCTCATAGTGGACCAAACAGTTTGAGGGAAACATCCAGAACTAGCTGTTCACATGATAAAAGGAGGACCATCAGACATACATTTGGCTGTTAGCACCCGATGGCCGCTTGCTATTCACAGGGGGCTGAGTGATACTAGCAATAACAGCATAGTAAGAGGGGGGTAGTTGAACACAGAGACATTAAACAGGGGTGGGGGTCTCTGTGTTCAACTGTCTCCCTCTTACTATGCTGTTATTGCTAGTATCACTCAGCCCCCTGTGAATAGCAAACAGCCATCGGGTGCTAACAGCCAGATGTTGGTCTGATGGTCCTCCTTTTATCATGTGAACAGCTAGTTCTGGATGTTTCCCTCAAACTGTTTGGTCCACTATGAGAAGGTGCTATTTATAAGACTGAGCTTGTTGCAGCTCCTCAGACTGAAGAAGTCTTTTGGATAAACGACAAAGTTTTACCAAAGAAGAATCCGTCCGGAGGACTCGACCTGGTTAGATATTTAAAGGTCTACCATTCCTTGAAGAAATGTATATTGCATGCTGCTGTTGGTGTCAGAGTTTTAGACTAAAATCATCTTGTAGCAGGAAATCGGAGTTGTGCTACAAATGTAGCCGTTTTGGTCAAACCTTGAAAACAATATGTTCAACCTCGTCCTTTTTTGTCTGGAGTTGGTTCTAAAATGCACTCAGCTGCGATCTGTACAACCAGTTTCTGAGTTTTATAGAAACCTGCTCAGTTTGAGATATTTTGCTAACAGACAGTGTTGGCTCCAACAATTAATGCCAAGTGTTTAAGCAAATGGGATTGAGTTCAGAGCATGCACTGAGGCTGGTGCTCAGCATCCAACATGCACTTTCTTTAAAACGAACTGAACTACAGTCGTTTTGTATTTGCTGATTTCTTTGCTGTGGCAGCCATCTCTAATCACATTTACTGTAAAAGTTAATTAGTTCTGGATGTACATCCACTGAATATTTTCTGTACAACCGTTAGCTGATTCAGGAGATATTTTGCTAACAGTACAGACGAATGAACACACAGATGTGGTCAAAAACGCTCGTCATTGTGAAACTGTGAAATGCACAGATGTACTTTTTCTGGTAGTAATCCATTCTCGTTGTGTCCGAAGTGTTTCACATGTTCCACCTGCCGGAACCGGCTCGTCCCCGGGGATCGGTTCCACTACATCAACGGCAGCCTCTTCTGCGAACACGACAGACCCACAGCGCTCATCAACGGCCATTTGAGTTCTCTGCAGACGAACCCACTGCTGCCCGACCAGAAGGTAAGAGTGCCACCGTGGCAGGAAGTGATCCGGGGCGGTTAATGTGTCCGAACGGAGAAGAAGGAATCCTCTTTGAGAAAGAGTTGAGTTAAAACAAAAACAAAAAAAAAAGGACCTATACTTTCTGAAAAACATTATGCTTCATGCTGTATTTTTATTTTATTTTAATTTTTTTTTAACATATTCAAAAAATAATATACTAAACTAAAAACAGGATGAGAAACATAATTTTTTTTTATTTTGTGATTTTCAAGAATAATTAGTTTTTCCACATTTGATGTTCACTGTGAATAAAACAATTTTGGCCGCTGTGGGCTCCAGTAGTCTGCTGTCTGTAGCTGCTTGTGTTGGGCACTGGCAGACTTAGCCATTTTGGGGCCCAGGGCAAACCTTCGTAAAGTGCTCCTCCCCCAAGTCTACCTTATTGTATTAGTAGGCCCTGAGGGTGAAAGATTCTGTAGTACTGCCACAATATTCATACTGCAGTACTGTGAACCAGACAGTAACACACACTGTTTTCCTACTTTTATAAGATACAACTACTTATTAAAATCTTTTTGGAAAAACCTTTGTTTTCTTTTATTATGATAAAAAATGCTAAAGCAAATCTTACATTAACACACAACACCACTATGTACAAACTAATAATGACAGGGTAGAGGTGGTCAATATAATGAAAATATACTCTTTTCATAAATGAACAGATTTTCATAACTTTATCACACTTATTTTAGTGTCATATTGCATCATCCTCTGATAGGACACAGCTGTAAGATCATTGTGGAGAAGTCTGTGTGTTTGAGAGAGGTGGTACCTTACTTGCCGTTGTACACGTTGCATCAGTTCAAATATGTTTAATAAAGTGGAAAAAACATAAATGCGTTGCTTCACCGTATAAGTCACATCTATTATGCGTCACCATGTACCACCTGGAAATGTGGGCCGTTGTTGTGTCAAAAATCAAATGGCGGCCGCGGGAGCGTGCACGGGAGACCTTTAACAAGAATTTAACAAGATTAACACTTAAACAATTATTTTTTTGCTCAAAATTATAGTAAAGGTGTTTCTCAGTTGAACTTTTCCTTAATAAATGCACTTTAATGGTAAAATGCAGCTGATTTGACGTTTGCTCCAGGAGTTCCAGAGCGAGACGAAGGTAGCTTGGTATGGCAAGCTAAGTGTCTCATTAATATCCACTTTTACCTATTAATGAGACACTTGGCTTGCCATTTTAGTCTAGGGGCCTCTAGTGGCTGAAAATGGTAGTGTTCAATATTTTCCATGTCAGAATGAATGAAGTTGTCAGATCTCCGCCAAAATTATGTTATAAATATGGGAAAAAGCATAAATACGTCGCTTCACTGTAAAAGTCGCAGGCATGCTAATTTATACAAAAAAAAACTTGTACAGCAAAAAATACGGCACTTGGGAGCAAACAGTGAACCAGACTGGATGAAGAACGATGGACAGCAAGATATCCAGACAGGAGAGACACTTGTCCTTTTACAGTTTATACAACATTAGAAAGTTGTTTTGGCTGTAAAAGTTGTCATTTGTGTATTTTTAGTTTTACAATGTTATTCACGCAACCTATCAATCTGAAGAGAGGGAAGTGGATGAGTGTTTTGCTTGTTTAAGGATCCCCATTAGTTTCTACCGTAGTCGAGACTATTCTTCCTGGGGTCCACAAGTGTAACTGCAGTCATGAAATGTTTAGAAAAATAAAAATGAAAGTCCTACCATATGATCAGTCCTATGAAGCCAAATGTGTGTGAGGGGATGGGAGGAACATGAGGAGGTTCAGGGAGGTGGCAGAGATTGATCCTGTTGTGAGGAGGTTAGAATGGATAACAGTTGGTACTAACCGCTCTTCTGTGATGTGTGGCTAGAGAACGCATCTGGAAAAAACATCTAGTTTGTTACAAATGGAGCAGATGAATTAATTCATTCAATCTTTATTTATACAGATTAGTCTCATCGAGCCACAAGGACTCATTTACAAGAGTTGTTTACACTACACTTTGTGTTTTACAGCTTTAAGTGATCGTTACCTTGATGACTTCTATGAAAGACGTTGTCTTCTGTTTTACTGAAGAATCACATGAGAGCAGAACAAGTTAACTGCAAAAGAGACAGAATAATGTGATTTACTGATAGAATGCACTACATTTACTCTACTTGCTCTCCTCTAGGCTCCACATGTCTGTCTCCTCTTTGAATGTTGACTTACTCTTATTCCCTTCTTTCCTCTTCCTCTCCTTTATTACTCCTCTTATGCTCTTGTATTCCTCTTCTTCATAGTCCCTTTCAGATATATGTTTCTAGTTTATTTAATTGATGAGACCGATCAGTATGTATCTATTCAGCTTTAATCATCCTGTCACTTTGGGAGGGGAAGGATCTAAAGTAGTTAAAACATCAAATTCCCTCTATCGCTCCTTGTTTAAGGAAAGTTACAGACTATTGGGGCGGCTGTGGCTGAGTGGTTAGAGAAGTCGTCCTCCAGTGCAAGAGTTGGGGTTCGATTCCACCAGCAGTCACATGCCGAAGTGTCTCTGGGCAAGACACTGATGTGTGTCCCATCAGTGTATGAATGTGATAAAGCTCTGATTATTCTTTGTACAGATCTAGTAGAGTGCTGTATGAACGGGTAAACGAGGCACAGATTGTGTTGTAAAGAGCTTTGAGTGTCTGAATAAGGTAGAAAGATGATTTAAGTACAGTCCATTTATACCTCTTAATATTTTAATGAAGGAAAATAACCATAGTATAATTTGTCTGAGCTATAGTCACTTTGTTGTCAATGTGGGTTGCTGCACCCAGAGTTTATGTATAAAATACTTCCTAAAACTCTTCAGTCCGTCCATGTGCTGTAACAACCATTAATCAAACCTCATCACGTGAATCCTCTTCCTCCTCGGCTTTTTGTTCCTCATCCAGTCGGTTCTCTGTCCACTCTTCAACGAGCTAATGTCCGTCAGGATTTTCGTGAGATGACTCTGTTGTAGGTACGTTTAAAAAAATTGTCAGTTTTGGTAACATAGAAATATAGTATTTTGTTTTTCCGCTCCGTTTTGATAACTCATCTTCATCTTCCTCCATACTGATCCCACTTCCTGCTCGAGCGCGTTGCAGGTCCTGCATCTTTTCTGTGACCAAACGGAAGAGTCCGTGCTGGTGAAGGGGGGAGCAGAAGACGGTGGTGCGTCGTGTCGAGCTAACATTAGTTCAGAGCTTCAGCTCGTACTCCTTACTGCAGCAGCAGAAGTGAGTTCAGTAAAGACTGTAGATGTACGTTCAGAAGACTTCTGCTATAAAATTATCATAAAACACGTGTTTGTCTCGGTCAGCTGGAAGCTGTTCAGTGAAACGTCCTGTGGAAAAGTAAAAGTTTTCGTTGATAAACAATTCTCCTCATCATCAATATCCTAAATTTATTATCCAAAGCAATAATTCTGTTAAATATCTGGTGTTTGTCAAAGTCATGTCGATGAGTTTTAATTTAGAAGAGAACCGTTTCTTTACTCACACATGAAACGCACGATGCTTGAAATCCCAACACCACTCGGATGTATTTATACACGGAGTCTCTACAGGCAGATTAGAAGCACCTTCCTGGCTGCGCTCTTGAACTAAAACACATTTTCTCTATTTTATTTAAATTTGCTCATCTAAATAAAAAAATGCAGATATGTTTGTTTAGATTAGAGAAACCGACCAGGTGGAAAAACTGGCTACCTAAAAAAAAAAAAAATTAAAAAAAAACCGCGGGACTCAGACATTTGGGGAAATAAAATGATTTAAAGCGCTGTGCGTGTGTAATTGTCTCTCGGTTTATATTGATGCTGTCAGTTCAACTCCACTGCACTGCATCTAGCTGCGCACAGATTTATTTTTTAATTTTCAGACAGCTGATGGATTTTCCCATCATTCCTGTTGGAGGACACTCAAAACCTCAGAAAAGCTGTATTATCCATCAACACCGCCTGTGAAAACACGAGCTTTTTGGCCCGATGCAGCCACATATTTAACTTATGATGAATTTATTTGGCCAGCGTGAGTCAGCCTTCCATTTTGTGCTAAGGGGAGAGAAAAAACCCTCTTTGCTGATGACACCACCGCGTGTTTTAAAGCAGAATCTGCCTCTGATCACCTGGGCCAAGTTATCACTCCAAAGCTAAAAATGTGTATCCAGGGAGCCCTGGAGGGTTGAACGCAGCCAGAGAGCAGGAGCAGCTAGTATATCACGAGTGCTGCCTTCATGGCTTGCCCTGATTTGATCTTGATGCCTCCAGTGAAAGCAAAACAAAGAGCCTAATCATATACAAAGGATAACTTCATTCTTCGGGACAGCTTCATTCTGCTGCTGCAGATCTAATCATCCCCGCCTCAAAACAAGCTGCTTTATTGATACCTTGTCTGCACACACAGCACACTGACACATGGGGGGTGGTTGGAGGGTGTCACACAGACTATGATTGGGCAGTGCATTTCACCTTGAGTGCTTCTGTGAGCAGAGAGGTAGAACTTGGTTAAGGCCTTTAAGCCTTGTCACTTTTACAGATGGGCTCCCGGAGCTCTAAGAGCTCCTCACATTTCAGCTGAAAGCTGCTGTATTGTCCAGCTTAATTTTAAACGTTTGTTTAAGTCCTTACTTGTACGCAAAGTGTCTCGTAACACGGCGGGCAAAGTAAATATGAAGCTTCATAGTTTATTTATGCGCTAACATCAATTGTAGTGAAAAGCACTGAATTATTGATGCTAAAACGCAAACTGAATATTGGCCCTAGTGCTTTAATTATCGTGGAGAGAGAATATTTAACTAAACGGAGACGCGCTGCTCTGCGGGAACACTCTGCATGCTTCAGTGTGAAACGAGGGAAATGATGCTGCCGCTCGAGCACTCTATCCCACGTTTCCTTTTGCTTAAACAGAATTTGGACGGGCTCAGCCAACACAGACTTGCAGCAGCGTACAAGCCCTCCAGATCAATAAACTACCAATGCATCAGGCTGGCTGAGAACGCACAGGCTGCTCTAACGGAGGAGGAAATGAAGCAGTCAGAAAGTTATCTGCAGATTGTTGTTTTGATGTGGGACTTTGCTGCGACGTAATTGGAGTTGCTCACTATCACAGCGCAGGACATTTTGTGCTCGTGCACTAAGGCTTTCTTCTCTGCTTCTGCCTAATCTCTTTGTTCAGAGCAGACAAATTACCTCTCGTACAGAGCTGCTCTGACCCTGGGGAGGAAGACCCTCCCAGCGTCAGTCACTTTAATTAGCCCCCCAAGTAGGAGTTTGCAATTACTAATAGACTAAAGCCCTCCTAGTGATTTGAGGGATGAAGGGAAAAGTAAATCACCCCTTAGAATCATGGAGAAGAAAAAAACCCACCATGAGGATAAAAAAGTTTAAACCCAGACAGATAATTGTGTTTCTTCCCCTGCATTTCTGTTTCGCAGGCCTGAGCACCTCCTGCAGTTATGTTGGAGCGTGCGTCTAATTATACCAGAGAATCGCCTCGCCGAGGCACTTCTGACTCATTGCAAAGTAAACGGGGACACCAGATGGTTCCCCAAAGCCGACTGATCAATAAATTAAACACCGAAGCTGGTGGAAGACGCATTTATCATGCAGGGGAAACATTGACACATCGTGAACAGGTGCTCTTAATTTAGTCTTTTCTTACGCTTGTTTTGTGTTTGTTTCCTCTTCAGGTGTGTTAGGTGGAGCTGAGCAGGAAGCAGGACGTGTGCCTTCATTTGAGCCCTTTCATTGTCACCTGAGACGGCGTGGATCAGCAGCGCCCCGTGCTCCCAGGCCCTTTCGCCCTCCAGCAACCCTCGACCATCTCACTTCTTATTTCTGCAACTCGCTGGCTTCTCCCCAGTTACTGTGTGGGTGGATATTTGCACTTTCCCACACCTGAGACGAGGCGCTTGGATTTGAACGAATTTATCTGAACTCTGTAATAATCAGAGGGGACTCTTCAGAAAGAGAAAAGAAAAGCAACACTAACAGGATGTTGTGACTGAAACAGAAAGACTAATGAGGTTGAAGATTTGCAGACTTTTCAACGCTGCACATTTGTTTAAAGACATTTTGGAGGGAAAGGGACTTTTTTCCCTTCTATTCCTTTTCTATCCTCATTTCCCAGCAACATGATGTTTCTGCTTTCTATATTTTAAGTGTTGTCAAAGGGAAATGCGTTTTTTCTTTTGATGTGATCGATAAAATGGGGTTTAAAACTATCTGTGACATTTTGTGGCAAACAGATCATGAACACTCTGTAGGTGTATTTGTATAACTACCATGTATGTACAGTATGCATGTAAATGTCATTGTCCAGGCGTGGCTACAGTACATGGGACCCCTGCGCCTCCCGCTCCTTCCCCACGAACCGAGGCAACCTGCAGATATCCGCTCATAGTGACGTAGAAATCATTCCCGACATATAACTGCCGAATGAAAGAGAAATTTATTAGTGATATTTTCCGAGACATTTGCTCCAGTATGGTGTATTTAATTAATAAAAATAAGTAAGATTTTAAGATCTTCGTAAAATCTCTTTGTTTGAAACCAGTTATGGTTAACTGCGGTGAAAAGTACCAAACTTGTGTTTGTGCAGAAGCCTGATTATCAGTCCATGACTTCTTTGTGCCACTGAAAATCCTTCTTATTGAGGACCCACTGTGTTGCCATCCTGCGTCCAACCTCACAATCATCAAGGCGCATGATGAGCGTCTAACCCAAACTGGATAAACATGTATCCTCTCTTTCTCTTCAGATGACCGTTTGCTATTCATCACTCTAATACCTGGCAGAAATGAAGGAAAATGTCCCTTTGAAGATTCAATTACTGCAGAGAGGGAGAGAGATGTCTTTCTTTGACGCGCACAAATTGAATGGGCTATTTGCAGAACAAATTGGTGTTTGAAGTCTTTGCAAGTCCTAATAGGTCTGAAGGAGGGACCCAGTAATAGCTGATGCACTTATCTGCGTGGTGTGTAGTCCCCGGTGAGCCCGCCGCCGCTGATGAAAACAATGCTGCTCCCGCCGAACAAGAGCAGACTTTGATGCAGAAATCAGCTCAAGTAGGAGGAAACAGACCGACAAAGTAAACAGTCTCGTGATTAAATTGGAATTTCATGCTGAATGGATGTGTTCTCGGCTTCCTGAGTTTGGCAGATTAAATAAGATGTCTTAAATAATCTGTCTTAAATGTGAGTTCCCCTTAAGCGTCCTGATGCATGCTCAATAATCCAGGTAGATAAACCTAACAAGGTTAAAGTCGGGTCCTCTGAACAGATTCTTCTTGTCTTTTGTCCAAAATACTTCTTCAGTCTGAGGAGCTGCAGCAAACTCAGTCTTATAAATAACATAGTGGATCAACCAGTTTGCTGGGGACAGGCAGAACTAGCTGTTCTGCCTGTCCCCAGCATGTAACATGTAAAAAGGAGGAGCCTAACAGTTGATTGTGAATGCACTGATGGCCGCTTGCCACAGACTGAAGAAGTCTTTTGGATGAGAGACGAAACGTTTCAACAATTATGAATCCATTTGCAGTGGTTCCCAAACCTGGTCCTTGAGGAACACCATCCTGCATGCTTTAGATGTTTCCCTGTTCCAACACACCTGATTCGGGGGAGTGGTGGTGCAGAGATTAGAGAAGATGGGCCTGTGATCGGAAAGTCGCAGGTTCAACTCCCGGTACCGTCGACATCAAAATGTGGGTGGAAAAGGTGAAACGCCCACACCTGGCTCCACCCTCATTTGCTTCACTCTGGGCTCCTGAGCAAGGCCCTTAACCCCCACCATCTGCTCCCTAAACAGGTCTCTCTTGAAAAAGAGTTCTCGTGACTCAATGAGAATACCTGTATAAATAAAGGGTAAATGGAAAAAAAAAGATTTGGTGATTTAATTATCATGTTCTGCAGAAGCTGTTAATCACCCATAATTAAAATCAGGTGTGTCAGAGCAGAGAAACAACTAAAACATGCAAGATGGTGTTCCTCAAGGACCAGGGTTGGGAACCCCTGAAGACCTGACTTCACCTTGTTACATTTATCTACCTGGATTATTGTATTGAGCAGTATCAGGACGTTTTGAGCCACTTTGGCCTAAACGAGTTCAAGAGTTTATCACTCAGTTCTCTCTGAATAGCAACCGGCCATCAGGGCAGTAATGACCAACTGTTAGGCTGATGGTCCTCCTCCGCCTTTTTACATGTGAACAGCTAGTTCTGGATGCCACCATCAAACTTGGTTGATCCACTATGAGAAGGTGCTATTTATAAGACTGAGTTTGTTGCAGCTCCTCAGACTGAAGAAGTCTTTTGGATAAAAGATGAAACGCTTCAACAAGAAGAATCCGTCCCGAGGACCTGACCCAACCTTGTTAGATTCCCATTCAGTGTTTTAACGTGGCTCAACTAGTTGGGTTTTAAAAGAAGAGTGATTGTCGGCAACATCTGGTGCTATGAAAATCTGAAACGGTTTCCTCATTTCATACACAGCTGCAGTAAAAAGAAAACTTCTTTCAGAGATAACAAAAATAAAACTACAGAATATCTTCTGCCATGTTACAGCCAGAACTTCAGACAAAGATCATCATGAGTGACATCATAGCGATTTTGATCAAACCTAGTAAACAGCGTGATATTATGTGATGTCAAGATGTGCTGTGACCACATATGACTTTAGCTCAGTGTCTCTAACATTAACTACGTTAGAATCATCACTGCGTTGGCTAATGCTAACTAGCTTCAGTGCTATTAACCAAAAGTCTTGCACAAAAATGTGCTGGGAGTGACAGGCAGCTATAACCACATTAAATCATATCACATACGTGTCAGTTTTGCAAACATAAACATGTTTGTGTTGTTACGTCTGTTAGCTGTGGTGGCCATCTTAAATCAGGTTGGCTCCGATGGATGCATGTCCAGTAATCACTTGTAAAAACAAAGACCTTGGACAATTTGTCAGCATTTGGAGTTTATGTTGGGGATGAGTCTTAGCTACACTAATACAAACCTTATTTTATATAAATGTAATGATTCTAACAACCATTTTGACATTTCCTTTAAGCAATTGAATACCAAGATGAAAACAAAACGTCACGCAGAGACTTGTAATCTTCTTATAAATGTAGTGAGACAAAAATCTAAATATTTATATTAAAAAGTGAAGCACATTCATCAGCTTAATTAACAGTATTGCCCGGTTACTGTAAAGCATAATTAATTTGTAATTAATATTCAGGACACATTGCTCACACTGGCATGGGGACTAGTTTGTAAAGGTAAAACCTCTGTTTGCAAGAGTAGCAATTTCAAATCTATAAAAGCAGAAGTTCAGTCAGTTTACTCCTCTGAAGCATACAGCTGTGCGCTAACACAAAGACAAGATGGAAGGTCATAAGCAATGACCTTAGAGAAACTGTTGCTGCCCATCAATCTGGAATGGATTATACTAAAATCATTTCCAAACTGTTTGGATTCTGTCATTCAGTGTGGAAAACATTGAAGACAGCCCACAGGAGCGGACCTGTCAGCATTTCACCCCAAGATCAGACTGTGCAATGCCAAGAAAAATTGAGAACAATAAAAAAAAGCTCTATCTCAGGCTCCACAGGTCTCACTTATCAGGCTGAATGTTGAAGATGATGGTGTGACAACAAAATCAAGACAAAACAAGCGTGACTTCTTAGCAAGGGCTGTTTATGTTCAGCTGTCTGTCCGAACATCGACAGACAGCCATCGAGAGGAGCCAGTTGAGGTGGCTAGGGCATCTGGTTAGGATGCCTCCTGTATGCCTCCCTGGTGAGGTGTTCCGGGCATGTCCCACCAGGAGGAGACCCAGAGGAAGACCCAGGACACGCTGGAGGAACTATGTTTCTCGGCTGGCCTGGGAATGCCTTGGGATTCCCCTGGAGGAGCTGGCCCAAGTGGCTGGGGAGAGTGAAGTCTGGGCCTCCCTACTTAGGCTGCTACCCCCGCGACCCAACCCCGGATAAGTGGAAGAGGATGGATGGATGGATGGATGGATGGATGTCCGCACAAACAACAAATCAAACCAAAAAAAAAAAAATGTTGTTGGAATAAAGTCCTGTACAGATGAAACTAAATGCACCATACTCAGAGAAAACCAAGCAGCTTATTGGCAAACTATTTATTTATTTAAATTTTTAAACAGGAAAAGATTAAAAGAAATTGGGCCTGGCTCAGCATTTGTCCTGTTTTACAGCAGGTTCCCGTTCTGCAGAACATAAAAAACACACAGCTATCCAGCATCACATCACATTAATAGACACACAGACATACTACATTAGAAAATACAAGAATGGCAGCATTAATACGGCAGACACCTAACGGTGATTGCAAAAAAAGGTGTCCAACAGATGACGCACATGAGTCTTCTTAAAAAGTGGGAATGTTGAGATGGACTTTATATGTCGTGGAATGTCATTCCATGTTTTAGTATAAACATAGAAAAATTATTTCTGGCCATAACAGTTTTTAAAGGCTGGTAGTGGCAAGTGTCCGCTTGTAGCAGCTCTAGTCGAGCGACCATGTCCATTATTGGTTTTAGGCATCAAAGCAGAAAGAGCTACATTACTGACACAATGAAAAACCTGAAAATACAATTTAATACTGCTGTATAGAACATAATTTTGAAAAGTTAGAGCGTTTGAAGAAGAAAGAGCTGTACAGTGATGAGTCCAGCCAGGAAGTTTGTTATGAATTTTGTAGGCCTTATTGTAGAGCCTAGCTATGGGTTTCAAGATTTCATTAGTAGTAAGAGACCAGACCGGTAAACAGTATGACATAGTTGAAAGTATTATGGCATAAAGATACATGTTTGAAACAGAAAATATCAAATTTGATCTAATTTTGTAGTAAACATACATTTTTTGTTTCAGCTTGGTACATAAAGATTGCACGTGGTCATGATAAGTTAAATGAGAGTCCAAGATAATTCCCAGATATTTATAAGTAGTGACAATAGGGAGTGGTGGCACAGAGGTTAGAGAAGGTGGGCCTATGATCGGAAGATCGTCGGTTCAAGCACCGGTACCGACAACATCAAAAATGTGGGTGGAGCAGGTGAAGCACCCATACCTACCCCCACTATCATTCGTCCCACTCTGGGCCCATGAGCAAGGCCCTTAACCCCCACCATCTGCTCCTCCGGGTGTCCTAGATAGCAGCTCTCTGCTCCACACAGAGGGATGTGGTAGCTTGGTGGTCTGTGGTTGTGTCAGGAAGGACATCCCGCATAAAAATAACTGCCAAGTCTTCGTGCTACTTAGTTCTCTGTGGCGACCCCTAACGCAGGGAGCAGCTGAAAGAAAAAAAAGTAACAATAGAAAGGGGTTTGTTTAAAAAAGTAAGAGGATTTGATAAATTGAAATGTCTTCTAAGTGAGGAAAAATCCATACTTACAGTTTTTTTTACATTAATCATCAAGCGATTTTCTTGTAGCCAAAAATGAAATTGCTGAAGATCTGCTTGTAGCTGACTGTTGATAGATTCAATATTT